AAAGAAAAGAAAAGGACAAATATTAGTGCAGTAATCAAAATGTCCAATTCCAGCAGGCAAGGGTAAGTGTTGGTGGAGACAGTGCTGGTTCTTTGTCGAGCCCAGTTCACAGAGGAGGAAAGTGACCCAGTCTCTCTGCCCCACTAAGGATCAGCCGACTTCATTTAGCTTCAGGCCCCTTTGAGACCCTTGCTTCTCAATCCTCTGCATTCGCCTTCCATGTCAACCTGTGGTTCTCTGCTTCCCGCTGTTTGGACTTGAGGAGCATAGGATGCCTACGGAAGAGGGGAGTGACACGTCCCTCCTGTCGCCACACAGCCGAAGCCACCCGTTAGGCACCAAATGTTCCTCGCTCCCGCCTTTCTCAGGCCCTGACTGTCTCTCTGTCTCCCCAGGTCAACCTGTCCAGCTTCCTTCCACAGTCTGCCTCTTGCCAAGCTCCGCTCTCTGATTCACGACCCGGGTAGCCAGTGAGCGCCTCCCCTTCCAAACCCTGCGACTCTGCTCCGCCACCTTCCGGCTCCCGGGCCACCAGCGCCAGGACTCTTCGTGGCCACCGGGGGGCGCGCGCAGCTCAATGTGGGCTCGAAGCCACCAAAGGGTCCGCCCCGCCCGCCCCGACACCCCGCCCGCCCCGACGCCCCGCCCCAGCCGGTCGCGGCCCCGCCCCTCCAGGCGCCCGCCCCGCGCGGCGTGGCCTCTCCTCCTCCGCTTGCCCAGCTACCGGGAGACCGGTCTTTGCGACTCGCCAGTTCCGGTCATGGGCTCCACCGCACACACCGTGCGGAGGTCGCTGCCCCCGCCTCCGCCCCCGCCGCCCTCGTCGCCGCTGCTGTTGCTGCTTCCTTTGCTGCCGCTGTGGGTGGCCCTGGCGGGGCCCGGGGCAGCTGCAGACGGCAGCGAGCCGGCGGCCCGGGCGGCGCGGGGCGGAGCCCGTGCAGTGCGGGTGGACGTGAGGCTATCGCGGCAGGACGCTCTGGTCCTGGAGGGCGTCAGGATCGGCCCGGAAGCCGACCCGGTGCCCCCGCTGGGCGGCCGCCTGCTGCTGGTGAGCGCCGCTTCGGACACCCTGGCATAGACTTGGCACCTTGACCGCGCTTTGCTCCTTGAAAGAGCTCTGACAGCCCAGCGACCCTTCCACAGGCTGCTTTGGCACCCCAGAATTCAAGCTTTCAAAACCTGAGATGCTCCCTTCTCCATACTCGCTCCCAAGACCCTGACCTTGCATCCTCTGTGGTCGATCCCATCTCCCACTTCCACCTGCCCCTGCCTCATTCTGCTCATTGACTCTCGCTACACAGATGGACATCGTGGATACTGAGCAAGAGATGCCCGTAGAAGGCTGGATTGCAGTGGCATATGTGGGCAAGGAGCAGGAAGCCCAGTTTCACCAGGAGAATCAGGGCGGTGGTGCCCAGGCCTATCCCAAGGCCCTGGTCCAGCAGGTGCAGGGGCTGTATGTGGGGGAGAGGGGTTGGGGGAAAAGGTTCTCCAGGCATCTGCTAGAGGCAGGCTACCAGGTGGCTCCTACAGAGAAGCCCTGTGTGGGTTAGGGGACTCCAGTCTGGAGAACTAGGCAAATGTGGTGTGAACCAGGGAGGTGGGAAGAGACTCAGATTACTTTGGAGTCTGTACCATACTATGAGAGGGGAGCGTTGGAGAGTCAGGCAGGACTGCCTTACATGAACCAGGGAAAGGGCAGAGTTATTTGAATTTTACAGAGCAGGAAGTATGAGAGCTTTTGCCCTTGACCTCAAGAAGCTTATAGCTGGTCCAGGGGAAAGGCTTAGTACAGAAGAAGAGCTAAGAGCAGTGGACTGCAGAAGTGAGCCAAGTGTGGCAGAGTATGTGCCAGCCTCCCGCCTCTGTCCTACAGATGCGCCGGGCCCTCTTTCTGGGAGCCTCTGCTCTGCTTCTCCTCATCCTGAACCACAACGTGATCAGAGAGGTAAATCAGAGCAAGCTGTGCGGGTGAGCAGGCTGGTGAAGGGAAAACCAGACCCTGCTGATTTCCCTCCCCGTCCTCTCTAGCTGGACATATCCCAGCTTCTGCTCAGACCTGTGATTGTCCTTCATTATTCGTCCAATGTCACCAAACTGTTGGAGGCACTGCTGCAGTGAGTTGGGGTTTGGGCCCCCCAAAAGAGGGGGTCTGGCAGCCTGGGTGCTGAAACTCCCTGGCTCTCTTGTGGGTTTGGGGGACCCAGGAACAGGGTGTCTGTCACCTGTTAATCTTAAAGCTGTATTCTGGGCTGAAAATGGGCATGAGAATGGGAAGGTGGTACTAAGGCTGTGTGAGAACTGGAAAAACGAACAGCTGTGAAAGGATTGCGACCCAAAATAGAAAGCCTACAGGAGTGACATTCTGTGGATTCCACTGCAGGGCTGGGGTGAGTCTGGCTTTCCTGCCTGTCCCCTTTATGACTTTCTTTCCCAGAAGGACCCAGGCCTCAGCTGAGATCACAAGTGGAGAATCTTTGTCAGCCAACATTGAGTGGAAGCTGACCCTGTGGACCACCTGTGGCCTCTCCAAGGATGGCTATGGAGGATGGCAGGACCTAGTGTGCCTGGGAGGCAGTCGTGCCCAGGAGCAGGTGGGTGCAAGTGGATTCTTCTGGATCTCAGGAGAAGCAAATCCTACGGGGTCTCCTTGCCTTGGTGGTGAGGGGAGCCCTTATCACCTCACAAGAGTGATGTGTTTAGTGACACAATGCAGGGCCCCCTCCATGAAGCTTTTGGCCTAAAGTTGGTGCAATCAGTCTTAATTGCTGTCATTATGCTATTCTCCAACTCAATGGCTGCCTTTGGCTCCCTGTTGTCTTCAGAATAAAGTTCAGGCTCCTTAGTCTGGCTTTTACAGCTCTCCTCATCACTTATTTTTCTAGCCTTTTCCCTATGCTCTGGCCAACTTGTGCCATTCACTGGCCTCCACCTGTGCTAATCCCCTTGTCCATCCTTGGCACCAATCCCTTTTTCTCTATTGCACTAGGATCCAGTCTAGCAGAACTGTCACAGTTCATGAGGTCTGCCTGCTTTGGAATGTCTTCATACCCTCTGCTCAAAGTCCTCTCCCTTTGCTTAGTCACTGCAGTGTTTTGCCAGCCCTCTCCCAGGACTCTCAGGATAGCCCACCCTATATGTATTAGGGAGCATGACTTAGTCCCCTACTGTCCAGGAGTGTGCTCTCTTTGGCTCTGGATTTCCCAGTGCTTGACATGAAGGGGTTCAGAAATGCCCATTAGCATTTCTTGAGCCCCTTTTCTGTGCCAGCAGGCATGCCTGGTGAGCAGCCTCCAGCAGGTGTCAATCAATGTGGGCCATGTTAAACAGCTTCAAACAAGGCAGATGGGCTCAAATCCTGGCTTTAAAACCTTAGCTTAGTGATCATACGTCAAATGTTTAATCTGCCTCATGTTCCTCATTTGTGAAGATAGATAGATAGATAGATAGATAGATAGATAGATAGATAGATAGACAGACAGACAGACAGACAGACAGATATCTGATACAGATCCTTAGGCAGGGCAGGGATTTGAAGTGGAGCCAAAGAAAGGTCAGAGCTGGGTATGGAGGCAAGGAATGGGCCCAGGAAACCTGAAGTTGAGAATCCCTACAGTCTGCAGTTAGGTCTGGCTGGTAAGAAGGCAAGGCTGAACGGCCCTGGTCATACTGCTGGCTGAGGGGACATGGCTTTTATGAGTATCAGGTAGCCGTGGCAGCTGGTGTCCAAAGGGTGGCTGGGCAGGGGTCTCAGCTGGCTGGCCTAATGGGTATTGGGCCCTCAAACCCCGAGCCCTGGACCCAGGCACCATCCTGAACCAGCTTTTCACAGCTGGAACACCCCTGTACCCATGTATCAGGAAGCCCATGCCAACTATATTCTTGATAAGCCCCATCCCACCCTCCTGCCTTTCCTGGGGGCTCCCCAAAGTGCACTGAGCCTGGCTGTTCCAAACAAGGAGCTCCAGATCAGGCTGTGCCATGCAGAGCTTGTGCTATAGTGGCCATTCAGCAAGTCCTGCCCCGTGTCAGCCTGCTTCAAAATGTCATGGGACACAGAGCAGGACACCTATACCCTGGGCCCGCAGGACCCAGCCTGGGGAGTAGATAAGCTCCAACGAAGGCTGAGCTGGTAGTGGGAACAAGACTTCCCAGCTTGGGGGCCAGCAAGATAGCTCAGCAGACTTAAGTGCCTGCTTAGGCATGCACAGTGTCCAGGGTTCGATCCCTAGTATGTACTGCACTGGTCCAGCCCCTGGGCACGGAGCACTCGTGCAATCTCAGCACTGGGGAGGCTGAAAACAGGAGGATCACTAGAATCCAAGCTGTATGGTGAGACCCTGTATCAAATACATTTTAAAAACAAAAAAGGGCCAGGGAGATAGCTCCTACCTGGCAAAGTCTTGATCGCCGGAACCAAAAAAACAAAAACAAAAACTCTCCAGCTTATAACAAAGGTGCCTGGGCTCAGCCTATGGCTTGTGGGGAGCTTCCCAGATCAGGTACCACCACCCCAGTGAGATAGAAGGGAAAATGGGAGCAGGCTCCTAGATACGTTGGTGGTTCCCAAAGTACCTCCACCCCAAGAAAGAGCAATGTCTTGTAGCACTAGTAGCCCTCAACGTTGATAGAATCGTGCCTTTTTACCATCAAATTGTTTCTTGCCACTTCTCTTCTGTCATGCTGAGAGTTGAATTTGAGCATTTGTCTGGGCACAGAGCATTAGAAATGCTGAAAGCTTCTAACACATCTACTGGCTGTGTGAAATAAGCTTGCTTGTGTGGGAAAGCATGTCTGTCTTACTGTGCCACATCATCTTCTGAGCTGGCTCTTCAAAATTATCAAAATCTAGAGCCATGCTGCGTGTGGCGGGAGCTAAATCAAGATCAGTGTGGGTCCCCTAGCAACTGAAGCCCCTAGGGCCTGGGCCCACAGGTTTTACAATGCCCTCTCAGTTGTGCTTCCCAACTCTAGTCCACAGATGAGCTCCTAGATGGAAGTGAGTGGGGGACAGTGCAGCCTGAGAGAGCAGACCAGGAGGAAGTGCAGGTTGAAGATGGGGTAGGACAGTGCAAGAGACAGATGTGGCTGTCCTTGTACCTGGGCGAAGAAAGGCAACTGGGACTGACCCTGAGGAGGCCAAGAGTAGGAGGGAATGAAGACTTGGAAGAATGAATGGAGGAGTCTGTAGGGACAGAGAGGAGGCCCTTGATGCATGTCACCTACCTGTTCATGGGGGTGGATGCTCCTGAGGGAAATACAGGGAGCAGCTCCAGCACCCCTGACAGCTGCTTCCGTCCCCCAGAAGCCCCTGCAGCAGCTGTGGAATGCCATCCTGATGGTGGCCATGCTCCTGTGCACAGGACTTGTGGTCCAGGCCCAGCGACAGGCATCACGGCAGAGCCAGCAGGAGCCTGGAGGCCAGGTGGGAGCCCGACCACAGGAACCCTGGTTCCCCTAGCCGTTGGGCCTGTGAGACTGTGGCTGTCTTCTTGCCACAGGTTGACCTTTTCAAGCGCCGTGTGGTGCGGAGACTGGCCTCCCTCAAGACCCGGCGCTGCCGTCTGAGCAGAACAGCACAGGGCCTTGCGGAGCCTGGCACTGAGACCTGTGCAGTGTGTCTGGATTACTTTTATAACAAGCAGGTTAGTGGCGTGGACAAGAACAGCCATCTGCTGACCTGTGACTTCCCCTACTCTACTCCTGGGAGACCCCGAGACCACCCCAACCAGGCCCTTTGCTTTCCAACCCCCAACAGGTCTACAGAAACTAGGGTAGGGTTGGGCCAGCAGGTAGGGGCTGGGGGAACAGGCTCTAAGAGGATTCAGTTTCCCATTTCTCTACCTGGAGCCCCGCCCCTTGATTCAAGCCTCTACCCATCCCTGTAGTGGCTCCGGGTGCTACCCTGTAAGCATGAGTTCCACCGAGACTGCGTGGATCCCTGGCTGATGCTCCAGCAGACCTGCCCACTGTGCAAATTCAATGTCCTGGGTAAGCACTGGGGCAGTGCCCTAGGACCCAAAGGCCCCACGTGATGCCTCCCTCCATGTCCTTCCTGCTCCTCTTCTGCAGGGAACCGCTACTCAGATGACTAGCTGCCCCACTGGGGATTCTGTGTACAGGAACCTTCTGCTGCATCCAGCCCTTAGCCTTGGCTCCTGGACAGGATGGTGGAATGGGTCAGCCCTGTGGGTGGAGGAAGGATGTGGACCCCAGCGTACCATGCTGGGAAACAGGGATCTGCACCCCTGGCCGAACTGCAGAGCCAGGACCACAAAGGCCAGAGTGAAAAGTCACTTTGTGGCCTTTCTCTGCAATCCTGGGATATCTGTGTCTGCTATGCTCCCAGGACACTGCAGAGTATGGGACCAGTGTAGCCAGGGGATCCCTGAGGGCTGAAGCTACAGTGGCTGTGTTTTGTTTATTGGGGAAGGGGTGGATTGAGGAATAAGCTGTCCGGCCGTGGAGCACCCTGGCTTATCTCTCAAGGTAGTCTTGGTCAAGGCTGTCATGTTAAACCCGGAGACCCCTCTACCACCTGTTGTCCTCAGTCATTGGGCACTGGGAGCCACAGGCCCTGCTGTTGTCCAGCTGGGTTCCCACCCCAGGCCTGGCTGGGATGAGGCCTTAGAATCAACCCAGTCTTGTTCTTCCTGGCTGGGCCATGTTACTTACTGCGATACAGTACTTGAAGCCACAGGATAAATGTGGTGTGTCTTCCAAGGGCATCCATTTTTTTAAGAGTTGGGGCAGGGAAGTTTTAATAGTAAAATAAACATGGATATATTTTAACATAAGATATAAAGTTTATGTGGATGTTTTATTTTATTTTTTAATTTTTTTATTTTATTTTATTTTTTTGTGGTACTGGGAATTGAACTCAGGGCCTTGCACTTGCCAGGCAAGTGCTTATTCTACTGAGCTATCTCCCAGGCCCCTATTTTATTTTATTTATTTTATTTTATTTTTTTATTTATTTTTGTGGGGGGGGGGGCTGGCATGGCATGTGATGCCAAAGATTGAACCACAGTCCCTGCGTGCTTACCTAAGCAGTTGCTTTAAACTACTGAGCTATCTTGCCTGCCCCTTTGTGGATATTTCAATTTTTTTGTTTTTAAAAGGTCAGTGGTAGGTGGAGTCCTCAGATGACGCCCAAGGCCTCCGACCACCAACCTACCATGAACACCCTGTATAATCTATGGAATAGTAACTCTTATGGGATGTCACCCTCATGATCAGGTTGTTATATGCAGAGCTGACCTTAAGATGGGGAAAATAGGGCCGGCGAGATACCTCAGCAGTCTAAACACCTGCTTGGCAAGCGCAGGGACCCGGGTTCGATCCCCAGCACCACATGCAGCACCAGTCCTGCCCCAGGCACTCAGAGCTGGCCACCAGAGACCAGAGTGTGTTAGTACATGCCTATAATCTCAGCACTGGGGAGGCCTAAAACAGGAGGATCACTATGAGTCTGAGCAGTGTAGTGTGACCCTGTAGCAAATACATTAAATAAATAAATTTTTAAAATGGGGAAAACAGGGCCGGGGAGATGGCTCAGTAGTATAAGTGCTTCTCTGGCAAGTGCAAGGGCCTGAGTTTAATCCCCAGTTCCAAAAAAAAAAAGGGAAAAATATCCAAGTGGGCCTGATCTACACATAAGCCTATTAAAAGCAGTTTCTTCTGGCTGGTAGAAAAATTCAGAGACTTGAAGTGCAAAGGGGATCCAATGCTGAAGCATTTTCTGCTACTCACTTGAAGATGGAGGCCATGAGGTAAGGAAGATGGAAACAGGGGCCTCAGTCCTACAGCCCTAAGGCTTGAATTCTGCCAGCAACCAGAATAGGCTCTGAAGATCATTCCCCATTCTGGGCTGACGGAAATAGGCCCTCGTTAATACCTTGATTTCAGCCTCCTACGAGCCTAAGCCAAGAACCCAGCCACGCAGGGCTTGGACTTCGGATCTGCAGAACTGTGAGTCGATGCACAGTTGCCACATTGGGAGAGACCCAAGAGAGTTGCTCAGCTGCGAGAGGGCTTCCCACTGCACTTAGGCCAGATCATCTGCTCAGAGAGCCACCCCTAGTAGCTGGCTCTCCCCTCAGCGATAGCCCAGAGCATCCCAGCCTCTTCAAGAACCCTGGGACTTCTCTGAAGCAAGTTAGGCAGACCTAGCAAGTGCAAGGGCCTGAGTTCAAATCCAGCCACACACACAAAAAAAGGCAGACCTAAACTGTGCTTGTCTACTACATGTGACCCCTCTTGGTCCTTCTCTGGAAACTTCAGTGCCCCACCTGATGGCCTCCTTACCATCCTTACCAGGGAAATGCCACAGAAGGTAGAGAGCACAGCCTGAGCAGTCCTTAGTGAGGGGGCTGGGAGTATAGCTCAGTGGTAGACTGTCTGCCTAGCATGCATGAGGCTGTGGGCTCAGTCCCTGGTACCAGAAGGAAAGGTCCTCAGCAAGGTCTCCAAGCTTATCCTTCACAAAGGGGGAAATCATGGATCCAGTGTCTTCCTTAAGGACAGTGACCACTGTGTGCCAGGGGTGTTTGATGACATGAGTATCCAGCCACACGGCACCCTAGGTTGAAGGGGCCCCAAGGTTTAGGCCTAGTAAAGTCAGGGCTGAGTAAAGTCTCCAAAGGCCTGACCCTCCCTTTGGTGGCTTCCTGGGCTGTGACCTTCAGGACACAGAACTCCTTTGTGACTCTCACCAGTTCCTAAAAGCAAGGAGTTACTCAGTGAAAGGATGCCCAGTGTTTTTGAGTCCCTAATGTCCCCAGGCCCAGGTTTAAAGCCAAGGTGAGGGCTTGGGATATAGCTGAGTGGCCTAAGCGCCTCCCTGGCAAGCACAAGGTCCTGAGTTCAATCCCTGGTACCAAAAATTAAAAAAATAATAATAAAGCCAAGGTAAGAGGCTGAGGGTGTCACTGTCTTCTGCCTGTTTCGGTGAACCCAGAGCCAAGATCCTAGCCTGATTCCTTGTTTACTTCAGATGTCCTCGCTGGCCAGTCACTGTGTCCAGCTTTGCCCCTTGACTCTTGCTGTGGTAGTGGAAGGACTGCCCTTCACTTGGCCCAGGTTCTAGAAGCTTCTACCCTTGATGTGCTTTCCTCTCCCATAGCTTCCCCAGAGAGAGGCAAAAAAACTCCCCCTTAATGAGGGCCCACAGTGCCAGGTCTCTCCTAACCAGTGTCCTACAAGGGGAAAGGACCACCATTCTTCCAGTTCAGCCATGCTGTGAGGCCAAGAATGCCATGGACAGATGGCTGAGGCTTTATTCCATTGGGGAGTTGCCAACTACCTTCCGACAGCCCTGTCCCTGCTGCAAGTTATGTGAGCCATTCCTAGGGCTGTTGTGCAGAGCTTCTCTGGCCATGATTTGGTGAGAGTCTCCTCTTCAGCCTGGCCAAGGCCCGGATGGGGTTCTGGGTACAGGTAGCAGAGTGGGTCACATCCTCAAGGGAAGACTTGTTGGGCCAGTTGCTGGTCTGCCGAGGAGGGAATGATTGGAGCTGGCCTGGCGGGGTCCAGCCTGTGCCACTTATCCTGCTGCTAGGAGGGTACCGCCTGCTCAGGGGCCTGAGGACCAGTTCACAAGATCCCCTGTAAGTGTGAGGGACCATGCCACCTCTGCCCTGCCTAGGCAAAACCTTGCTCACCTTGGGGACATCCTCTGGGCCTGGGCCAAGGGTGTTGCTCTTTGGATGCCCTTGTCAGGAGGGGACCACAGATGGTCTTGTGGGATCAGCTGCAAAGGAAGCCAAGCTCAGAAGGGCCTAAGAGTCCCCTCCCCACTGGAAACAGAGTTTCATAGTAGGTTCAGGGAGGCAGAGCCCAAACTCATGCCTTTCCACTTAAAGGAGAGGGAAAGCTGTCTGGGGCTTCTTCAGCTGCCAAACTTTGAGCGGACAATACGTGTGGGAAGGTTCTGAAAAGGTCCCTGGGTGCACTTAAAGGTGTGAAGGGCTCGAGAAATATCTGGAGCCAGAAGGCACTGAATCTGTATTTTCACACCTTGATGTGTGGTAGATGTTTCACAAAAACACAGCCTAAAACCCACAGGCCATGAGGCTAGTTCCCAGGGCACAGACTAATGACCTCTTCTGGGTTGGGGCCTCCTCCAGTCCCCCAAAGTCCACCCTCAGGTCTACCTTGAGGCCCCCTTGCTGGGCCACCTCACGGATTTTGGATAACATTGACTGGAGCCGGCCGTTCTCCTCCTGCAGGACCCGGATGCGGATGTCATTGGCCTGAACTTGCCTCTCCATGTCATCTGTGACATTGCCAGAGCCTGTGGGGACATGATATAGTACTTGGGTCCCCACCTCACCAGGTCAGCCTGTGTTCAAGGGATGGACCTCAGAGGCCAGGCACAGGCGGCTGGACAGTACACTGGGCCTCCCATCACATCTCCCTTTCCTTGAGGATTTGTTCTCCTTCCCTGTTCCATCCGCTGGGAAAGTGATGCAGCCATTGCAGAATCAGAGAGCTGCATGGGATCTAGAACTCATAGGTGATTGGGCAAATGAGGAAGAGTAAATCTCTTATCCTTATTGAAAGAGAGAATGAATGTGAATCTTCCAGGCCACCTGTTTTGGCAGGCCAGAGAGAGACAGTGGGTTGTCCAGGGAGTCACTCCAGCAACTCTGGAATGAGTCACAGGAATTCACCAAGGATATTCCTTCCTGCACTGTGGTGATGGATACTTCTAGCTCACTAAACCTTGGCAAGTTGCTGCCTGTTCTGTGTTTTCTGCTGGTAAAAAAGGGAATGCTGCTGTTGACAGAACAAATGTGAGGTGACAGAAGGGTCTGACACAGTGTTCAGGATGGTGACTTGTGACCACTAAGAGGATCTTCCTAACAGTTCTAAGAAGGGATTCATCACAGAGATTCAAGGGCTGGGAGAACATACAATGTTTGGCATGTGCTTCTGGGCCAATGCAGGTACCTAGTACTCCTGTCCATGGGGATAAGGACACCACACTGCCCTGTGGTGTAGGCAGATGCCAGGAAGAGGGACACAGGGAAGTCACCCAAGGACTGCCAAGTGTGTGAAATGGCAGAGTACACACCCTAGAGGCAGCCAGACCTGTGAGTAGGTTCAGCTGTGACAACCAGGGGTGGTCACCTTACCTCTGGACTTGCATTTCCCCTCTGCACAAAGGGATGGACAACAAAGGAAGCACCTGCATGCTGGCCAGCCCCTGCCCCACTGTCCACAGCCTGAAGGAGTTGTACTTTCCAGCTGAACCTTTGCTGCCTACCCAGGGGCCCTCATGCCCTTGGCATCAAGCTTAGGCCCATACTTTGCAGCTGGGCCTCCATAGGCCTGTGCAGGTCAGGGAAGGCCACCAGCAGCCGCTCCTGCTCCCTCAGCTCCGCCGTCTCCTGTTGCAGGTCCAGTACAGTCAGCCGCAGCTCTGTCGTCACCTGTTCTAGGTCCTGCTTCTCCCGCTGCAGGCTCTGCAGTAGCTCCTGTGGCATGGAGAGGCTCAGACCTGGCCCCAGGATGGCCCCTGGCTTCCTACTCCCCTAGGGACACCATTCTATCCCCAGGCACAGGATAGACTTGCAGGTGCTCAGTAGGATGGAGGTGCCTCTGCTGAAAGGGAAGGATCACTCCCACCCTCAACCTGTCCACTTGTACCTGCTGGGCCCGAAGCTGGCACTGTCCCTGTTCCTTCTCACTCTGTAGGCTCTGGAGCTGTTCCTCCATCTGGGCTCGCTGGCCCTCAGCCTCATTCAGACCTCTCTGCAGCTCCTCACGTTCCTGGTCGAGGCTATCCAACTGCTGTAGCAGGGCCCGCTGTTTGGTCTGTAGGGACTGAGTGGGAATAGACAGGATGTGAAGCCCACAGCGTTAGGCCAACAGCCAGATGGAACCAAAGAGACTCCATATGCCTGTCCCTCTGAGCCTCCCTGCATGCCTCATGTCTGCACAAGGTAGGCCATGCACACACACAAAGGGGAAGGGGCAGAAGGAAGACAGTAGCAGGTAACACACCAAGCCGGTCTAGGCCTGGGCTCTCAGCTTGCAGACCCTATGCCCTTGGAAGGTAGTTGGCTGATGGTGGCAGCCTCACCCCACACACTTCTTTCCTATTGAATACAGTCCCCACTAGAAGGGGAATTCTGAGAAATAAGCTTTTCTTCCTATATCTGCAGTGTCATATTAGCCTGTGTCATTGAAACCCACATTTCCAACATCCACTGAATATAAAGCAGAAGGAACACTGGTGTTCTGCTATGAATCCTGGCTGCATCTCCTGCAACCTGTGTGGCCTGGGGCTACTTCCTTGATAGCCTCAGTTTCCTCATTCATGAAATGACAGGAGTATCTCCCTCCTGTAGTTATAGCAGGGAGGAAGGATAGGGCTGCACACACAGCCTAAACCCTACTCCCCTAGGCCTCGGGCCTCACCTCTTGGTGGCGAACCATGCTGTCCACACGGGACTTCTCCTTGTCCAGTTCCGTGCTGGCCCAGCGAATCTGCTCGCCAGCTCCATCCAGCCGCCCTGTCAGCAGCTGCACCTGCTCCTCTAGCTGCTGCACCTGCCTCTCAGCTGCCACCCTGTGCTCAATTTCCTCCTGCAGCTGCTGGGCATTTAGCTCTGCGGGATGAAGTGAGAAGGCATGGGGGCCGGGCCAGGGGTGTGAGTCCCTCCCCTACCCCAGATCTAGGAAGGAGTCCCAGGGGAGGCTCTTGTCATATCTCTGGGCTTCAGTGTTTGCAGTCATGGGGCTCTGAACCCTTTAGATAGGTCTGGAAAACAAGGTGTTCTTTGGGCAGGAAGTGGCCCCTAAGCTCAGGTGGCTGCCAACAGTGCTGATGGTCAGGCCCACCTTACTATAGTAATCCTTCCATTAGTCCCAGAAGCTTGGGGACAGAGATGAAGGACATTTGTCCAGCCACATCACTGGCCTGAGATGTGGCACAGGGACATATAACAGGGCACCTTACCCATGGCCTGCATGGACTCCTGCTGCTGCTTCTGCTCTCCCTCAAGGTTGGCCACTTGCGTCTTTAGGTCACATATTTCTATGGCAGCCAAAAGAAAGACCATTCAGAGAGGTCCTGGGGCCTAGCCAGTAACCCTCATGCCCAGAGCACCCTGCAGAATGGAGACAGCTATGCCATGTGGAGAGGCCACCTGAGGTCACAAAAGAACACCGAGGTGGTGGCAGGAAGCCTGGGACTCGTCCTGCCTCTCACAGGCTGGCTGCCACATGCTGACACCTCTTTGGGCCATGATGACCTCTACAGAGGTAACAGGCTGGGAAGGGCAGGGACTTGCTCTGATCCGGTAGGCCTCACAACACAGCAGATACTGGCAACTTTCAATACTTTTCATTTTTGCCTAATAGTTTTTGCCAAAGTCAAAAAGACTGATCTGGTGGGGTGCAGGTCCCAGGGCAATGAGCGCCCCAGTAATAACCCTCAGTAATGGTCAAAAGCAAGTGGATTACTAACCCAGCTCCCTCCCCCTCCTAATGAGGACAGCCAAGGCACATGCTGCACAGTCTGCTGGTGTCCACCAGTGTCTGAGCTCCACCGCAGAGTGGTATGCTCCTCATGGGCAATACCACCAGCTGGATGGACACATCCTCTACTGCATTGCTTTCTTTGCCTCTTGCCCACTCCCCAACCTACGTTTTTTCCATATAAACTACTGGTACTGGTCCCAGGTCTCAGGTCTAGCAGACCCCTTGAGTATGGAGGATCCAACCCCTAGGGTACAGACCTGTAAGCAGTTGCTGCCTGTCACACTCCCATTTGGTCATGCATCGCTTGGACTCCTCCTCCTGCCGCTGCCGCTCACCCTGCTCCTGCCGCAGGTCCTGCTCCAGCTTGCCCAGCTGCTTCCTCAGGTCATCCTTCTGCCCCTCAGTCTCCTCTAACTGGGCCCTGAGAGGCCCAATCAGCTGAGACAGAGCCCCCATGTGCTTACTGAGGCATGTCAGATCTTTGCTCTGCTTTTCTGCCCAGTGGCTTACTGTGGCAGCCGGGAGGGGCCTGACCCCCACACTGTCCTGCACCAGCTGCTGGAACTGGCCCAAGGATGAAGGCAAGTTCTGGTTCTGACAAAGGCTGATAACCACCTTGCTCACTTCCCACAGGCTGCCCTGGACCCTGGTGCATGCATCACAGGGCACCAGGGCTGTTTCAATGGTCTGGGAATGAACACTCTTGGTGTTCTCAGAGGTCCTGGCTGAGCACTTCAGGGAGATGGGGACACTCTGTGGCCCTTGGCAGGTCTGCTGTGAGCCTGATGTTGGAGAGGGAGGCTTGATAAACTTGGCAGTAATGCATTCATGGCTCCTGGCTGACTTGCCCTTGGCTGTGGGCTTGGAGGTGGGGGTTTCCCCTTGGCCTGCCCTTTTCTGGGGTCAAGAAAAGAAAGGAAAGCAGTGAGAGAGAGATGGGCCTGTAAGGGCCCTGGTTCCCTGGGACAGTGGGAGCCAGGGCAGGGGACAGTGCATAGTGCTGCGCTGGAAAGCTAGGGCAGAATATGAGGGTGATCACAGTGGGGCTGGGGCTAACCCACCTGGGGGGCTGCCTGCTGACAGAGCGCGCCTTGCCTCAGCAGGCTATCCCAGAAGCGCCGCACTGTGAGCCCCACAGACATGCAGGGCCCTGCAGCCTGGGAAGAGGGCAACATCTGCTCCGAGCCTAGGCTTTCCAGGTAGCAGGCACAGCTCTGAAGAAGCAGCAGGAGTCTGTGGGCAGAAATGGCAAGGGGGGCTGGGCCTGAGGTCAGTGCGTCCTCACACCACACAACTGGCAGTTTCTGGCCCAGGTATAAGGAACCCGAGTCTCTCAGTATGCACTGCCAAGCCATCCTCATCACAATCTCGGGCCTACTTCCTTCCGGAAGCCCTTCTCAGCCCCAGGGTTGGCTCACGGACCTCTTCTAAGCCTCCTGGGTGGCAGCACTTGTGTTTTGGCTATTCCCCAGGGAATGCAGGCTTGGCCAGACCAGAAGGGGTTGGGCAGAGTACTCTGAGCTAAGGCACAGAGTAATGCAAAGCTACAGAGGATGGAAGGTGTATTCTATACTCACATCTCTCCAGCCCATCATAGGTTATGAATAATGCTTTCATACCCAGGGCTCTGCTGGGCCTCAGAGTAGTAACCCTGCCTTCTCCGTCCCCAGGCAGGTCATCCTGCAATGTCCTTGCTGCCTAGTAGGCTCCCATGGCTTTACTGGCATGGAAGGTTTCTGAGAACTGGGTTGTCACATAGAAAGTTAGAAGGCTGATTGTGTTAACTTTATTGTTGCTGTTCCCAGCTGCTGCTGCTGCTGTTATTATTATTGTATTAGGGATTATTATTATTATTATTATTATTATTATTATTATTATTATTATTATATTAGGGACTATTCCCAGCCCCTTTTGTCTTTTGAGGCAGGGTCTTACTAAATTGCTAAGTTGCCCAGGCTGGATTTGAATTTGTGACCTCCTGTCTCAGCCTTCCCGAGGGCTGAGATTAAAGGCATATGCCACCATGCACATCTGTTACTAATTTTTATGGTGTTAGGAATGGAACCCAGGCCTCTCTCATGCTAGGCAGGTGCTCCATCACTGAGCTGCATCCTCAGGCCAACAGGCCTTTACCACCCAGCGACATCACAGGAGTGCTAGAACTGCAGAGAATCCAAAGCCTCTTCCTAGCAGGGCTAGGAGTTGGAAAAACACATCCCCTGTTTGGCCTTAGAAGGCACAGGGGTAATAACACAAGCCATAAGACACCAGGAAAAATAACCTGGGATAGAAACATTGAGTAGCAGCTCTGCAGTCCCAGATACACAGAAACCTGAGGAGGTAGCAGTGAGGGCCACCGTGCCCCAGGGACAAAAAGGGCTGGGCAGCAACTCCACTTCCTAAGGCAGATAGGATAGCACAGCATAGCACTACACAGCACAGCATATAATACAATAAAAGGTGAGGGGACAGGTAGTGCATGCCAGCAATCTCGCACTCTGAGAGGCTGAGGCAGGCAAATTGCACTTTTCAGCTTAGTCTGAGCAATTTAGCCACTTAGTGAAATCCTGTCTCAAAAACAAAAAAATGGCTGGGGATATAGCTTGCTGTGAAGGCACTTGGTTCAATCACTAGTACCATTTTTTTTTAAAGGTGAATAATTCTGAAGGCCCTGAGATGCTTTGGCTCCTAACAAGTATTCAGTCCGTGGTAATTACTGCTACTACACTGTCACTGTCTCTAGAAGGGATGCTGTTGCTGTAAGAGGCAAGTGGCAGCACCCTGGGGTGGCCGGGTTCAGTCAAGGTCCTCACCTGTCAATGACCAGCTCCAGCAGCACAGCATGGGACAACTGTGTGAACTCAGGGTCACCTGGCACATGGTCATAGTGCTCTAGCAGGGCCACCATGTCGAGGTCACAGGCTACGCGGTCAGGGAACTTCCAGGAGGGAAAGCGTACGGGTCCGGCACGAGAGAACACATCCACGATGGTGCCCTGCAAGTCGGTGAGATCCTTGCGCAGGCTGTCCATGCAGGCCTGGCTGCCTAGCAGGTATGCCATTCCCACAGCTCTGGGGCAGGAAGAGAGGCACTTGGTTAGCCAGAGAGATGCGGCTGCTGCTGGAGGAATCTACCAGGTTGCTCCTTAGCAAGAACTCTGCCCTGACATTAGGAGAAGTCTGCTAATTATCTGACTGACAGTCTTTTTCCTTGTGAGCTCAAGAACTGTCACCTTTGGGTTAACTGTTATGTCACCTGGCAACCTGGGCTGAGAGGCCTGAGGACTAGCAAGTGCTGGGAAGATCAGAAACACCTGGGCCTGGTCCCTGAGGACTGAAATGGACACTAGGTCTCCCCAAACAATGGGCTCTGGCCTCACCTCTCACGGGTGCCTGCCTGTGTAGCTGCAGCCATTGACTGTGTCTGGCTCTTGGACTATCCTGCAGGCTCCAGGGCTCATCCAAGTGCCTGGCCTCCTGTCCACAATGCAGGTCTGACCTCAAGCAGGCCTCCAGTCTCTGGAATGGATGAAGGTGACAGTGAGTTACCACAGTCAGGTAGGGATTCCTTGCAGATAGGGTGGAAGTCGCCTGGGAAGAAGGAGAGAATATTTCAGGCCAGAGGAATAGAGTAAGCTATATCCCCAACTCACTTTTATTTTTCATTGTGAACAGGGCCCCACTAAGTCACTAAATTGCCCAGGTTGGGCTTGAACTTGCAATCTTTCTGCCTCAGCCTTTGAGAGTACTGAGGTTACAGGTGTCCATCACTGCACCTGGCCTCAACATTGGGGGTGGGGTACCAGAATCAAACTCAGAACCTCACACTCACCGGCTGCATCACTAAGCTAAATTCCTACACCCCCAACCCTTTTATTTACTTATTTTTAAAGACACAGCCTTGCTAAGTTGTTGGAACTGACCTCAATTTGAAATCCTTCTACCTCAGCCTACCAAGTAGCTGGCAGTGTACACCAATGAGCCCAGCTACTTTTTTTGTTTTTTAAGTCATAGAGACCAGTGTTTATTTGACCTTTATGGCAAATCTCAATTAGCACCAGACAATATTTCAAATGCTTGAAAGCCACATGGGCTGGTAGAGCGTCAGATGTGTGTGTTCCTCTGGAAAACAAGGACTGAGTATCCACCCCCTGCTGGGTACTGCATCAAGACTAGGGAGCTGGAAAACCGGGCATGGTGGTACACGTCTGCAGTCCTAGCACTCAGGAGGCTGAGGCAGGAGGACTGCTGTGAATTTGAGGCCAACCTGGTCTATATAGTGAGTTCAAGGCCACCCTAAACTACCTAGCAAGACCATCTCAAAAAAAGAAAAAAAAAAAAAACAAGATTAGGGAAAAAGTAGGGCATAGAGAACCCTGTTCCTATATCTGAAGGTCTTTATAAAGAGTAAAGTTGGATGTGTCAGCTTTACACCACAAACAAAACCATGTTTGTTGGCCTTTGTGTACACACACAAACACACAAGCTTGCACTCCACATACATGTTGTTTTGGCAACTGCCTCTCCTGAGATACTACTACTGCCTATGAGATTTTGTGTCTCTAAGGAGTGAAATGGAAACAAAGAGAAAAAACAGACGAAAACATTTGAGTTTCCTCCCTGGAATGGGCATGAAGGGAACAAATGCAAGCAAGAAGCTCCACCTGGGAGGAAGAGGGCACAGCACCTGGTCTTATAAGCATGCTTGTGAAGGTTCAAAAAGACCCCAGGAAGGCCAGGGAGATGGCTCAGTAGAATAAGCACTTCCCTGGCAAGTGCAAGGGCCTGAGTTCAATCCCCGGATCCGAAAAAAAAATTAGGAGGCTGATGCAGAAGGATCACAAGTTCAAGCTCCTGCTGAGCAATTTAGAAATTTCATGAAACCCTGTCTGGAGGTTGTAGCTCAGTGTGAAAGCCCTGGGTTCAATTCCCAGTACAAGAAAAAAAAGTAATGAAACAAAGAAAGAAAGAAGAAGGGAAAGGAAAGAGAAGGAGAAAAGGAAGGAAGAGAAGAGGGAGAGAAGGAAGCAAGGAAGAATCCAAGGTTAACTTTTGTGGTTTTTCCTGAAAACTAAGGTTATGCAGATGCAGGAATTTGAGAAGCACTTAGGCATGTACCAAGTGAGGGAAGACAACATTCTCTGTAATTCCTGTCTTAAGTAGAACCCTCAGACCTGACCTATATCTAGGACCATACATGTGATGGCAGTAATTTAGCCAGTGCTGCCCTTAGCAGGAATGGCAGTTTACTCTACCTCCTTCTAGTTCCTTAGGCTCCAGGGTGAAAGTCTGACTTGCAGAGAAGAGTGGGAGCCTTTTCTCCCCTCACATTCAACATTCAAGCCTCTTCTTTCTCTCAGACTTAGCACCCTACCCTGCTGGTCAAGATTGTGCGTACTGCCTCCAGCAAGCAGCCAGTCTCTGTAAAAGGTGCCACTGGGATAACAGACCTTTGTGTCATGGGAGGAATATGGCAGTGAATGCATACTCCACATCAGTCACCAGTGATAACCTAAATCAACAGGACAGGCTGACCTGGATCAATGAGTCTCTGTAGTAGAATCTGATAAGGATTGAAGAGTTGTACTCAGCGGCTACCTATTGTCAGTTTATGGATAAACTCTTCCCTGGTTCCACTGCCTTAAAGAAAGCTAAGCCAGAACAGGAATATATCCAGAGCTTCAAAATACTATATGCAAGTTTTAAGAAGAGGGGTTTTGACAAAATAATTTCTATAGATAAATTAGTAAAACAAGTTTCAAGGAAATTTTAATTTGTTCAATGGTTCCTTTTTAATGTTATTTACTTATTTTAGTGGTATTGTTGCAGGCAGCCGAGTTAGATGGAAATATTATAGGCAGTCAGACAGGGCCAGGCTCTTGAAGGAGATAACACAGAAAACAAAGTATTTTACAACTCTGGGAAGGATGGATGCTCCCGCCATGGGCCAGACCTAAAGACCAAAGATCAAACAAATGCCAACCTCCCTAAAGACCTGCATTGAGATTGATCATCATCCTGAGGGAGCCAGAAGAATCATTAATCCAACTACTACTGGATGGCTACCTGATAAAATCCTGTTCTACATTCATGCCCCCTTGCTATGTGACTCGCTTCCCTATTTGGTCCTGGACTTAATCAATTTTACCTGAGCGATGGTGCTTGTAATTCCATTGAGTGACCATAGTTTAGTCCCACCCCACATCCACCTAAGTGAGTTCCCATGTTCTTCACCACCTTAGATCCACCTCACCACACAGTTGTACTCAAGTCCCTGGAAGAGACAGCTTCCTGGGGAACAACCTGCTCAGGCCCCCCTCTTGTCCCTCTCTCAGGCAGGAGCTTTCTTTCCCTCAATAAATACATTCTGCTCATAACCTCCGTTTTTTCCTAAAATTCATTCTTCGGTTTTAGAGTACATGAACTTGCGCAGGTCAGGTCGGGAGATCATTTTTCCCTATGTCATTTGGAGGTTCCTGTATCATTTGGAGGTCACACACCCTCAGTTTTTCTCCCTGTATCAATATTAGGAATTGAACCCAAAGACTTCACACTGAATTACACCTCCACCCTTTTTTATTTATTTCAATTTTTTAAAGTCTCACAATGTTGCTTAGCTGTGATGCTCCTGCCTCAGATACTCATAGTGCTGAGATTACTGTTGGTGCCACCACACCTAGCTACCTTTTTAGTTTTTATTTGAAACGTGTATCCAACCTGCAGCCCAAAGGTCAGACACATCTGCTAAAGCCAAACTACATGGCAGTTGTCATTCTCTAACCTGAGATTACTAATCTGTGAATCCCTGGGGACACTGAAGGGACTGAAGACAAAGGAATAACCATCTGTGCTTGTCAAGAAGACTGACCTGAGTTCAAGTTCCTAGCCTATCAACTCTGAACTTCACAATTCTCTGTAAGCGGGTTGCTATATGAAATCTCTTATGAGGTAGTGTTTCACACATAGTCTGGCTCTCAGTAAATGTTCAGTATATCCTAGCCATCTCTTTGGCCCTCACTTCCCAGAGGCACACCTCCAATCCAGCCTGCTTTTCACTCTGCTGGAATCCTGTCCTTCCTGTCCCCTCTCCTCTCCCTCTCAGCTCTGGAATGAGAAAAATCAGCTTGGATCCCCTTCCTGGACTTCAGTTCCTTGCCTGTGAAATGGGGCAGTGATAAGAGCGTCTCCCTCACGACATACTCCAAATGGCACTCCCTCTACACTGCAGCAGATTTATGCCTTGTTACGGTTATTAATATAGAATAATGGTAACTAGAGCCCAGAACCATGGCGGATACTCGTAGTCGGAGCCTCAGGAGGCTGAGGCTGGACGGCTGTGAAAAGAGAGGGGCACAGTATACAGACCGCACTGTGGGAGCCAAGACTGGGGTCTGAGAAGGCAGCCGAATTTGAGAAGGGGTGGAACCGAGAAAAGGCAGACCCATGGAAAAAAGGCGTGGTAGGAAGTTTAATTACCCCACCCTCTCCCCAAACCGGGGATTGAACTCATGCCCTTGTGCTGGCCAGGCAAACGTTTATTCTTCAGAGCCATCTCCCCGGCCCCAAGTGCCTAAAGTTTGAAAGGCGGGACTTTGGGGCAGGTGGGCCCAAGGGGTTGAGGCTCTCCAAAGTCAGGGGTCAAGGGAGGAAGCCTTGGAAGTCCGAGCCGCAAAGCACAGGAACTGGCCTGGGAAGTAAAGCGAAGTGCTGTGGCGTCCGATCGGTAGTGCATAACATCTCACCTGCCTCCGGCGTCGCCGCCCCAGGTTCTCTGTCAAGCAGGCTCAGGAAACTGCCCGCGGCGCGCCTGCTGCTCGAAAGATCCTCGGAAACCCGTAGCCCGGCTTCCAGGCGGCTGCCATGACAACGGTGCCACGCCTGGCCCAGGGGAGGGACCGGAAGTACGCATGAGGGGGCGGAGCCGGAAGTCCGTCATTCTTGCCTCTGCAGCAAGGGCTCTCTTGGTGGCCGCCATCTTGAGGGCTCCTCGTACCTTCGGTGTGGGAGTCTGTCTTGACGCAGCAGCAGTCGTCTACACTGAGGCGGGCTGGCAGCCCTGAGCGTCGCAGTCATGCCGGCCGGACCCGTGCAGGCGGTGCCCCCGCCGCCGCCGGTGGTCACCGAGCCCAAACAGGTACCGCGTCTCCCACCTCGACCGGCAGCCGGTGCTTAGGCCTGGGCCCTCCCCTACTCCGCGGCCCTCAGCCCCGCGGTACTGTGTCGTTACGACTCTCAAGTGCGGGGAGGGACTACAAGTCCCAAGAGGCAGTGCGCTTTCCAGGGTGGCCTTGCGAGCCTGGTGCATGATGGTTCTAAATAATCACCCTGGGAGATTATTAGAGCTGTAAAGTCCGCCCCAGATCTTAGTAGGTATCTGCATTTTAACAAGATCCTGAGGCGATTCGTTAAAATAATCCAGTCCTTCCATGAAACTGTACGGGTTGGGTCCTCCGCCCCAGTCTGCCCAGCTGCACGGTACACTTGGATATTACTTCTTAGCATCTGCAGTGCTCACCCTAACCCAGACATCGTGCCAGCGTCCATCTTATTAAAATGAATGAAGCACAATCCTCTGCTAATAGGAGACCTCCCAAACTAGTAAGAAGAGAAGCAGGCAGCCCATGAATGTTGTCCAGACGACTGTAAATGATACAGTGCCAACCTGCTCTTTAAATGCTGTCAGTCACGGGGCGGACGAGATAGCTCAACGGTCCAAAGCTCCTGCTTAGGGAAAATACGCATAAATATAATTGTGGTATGGTGCCTTATGAGCCACAAAAGTATCTGTAAAAAAAAAAAAAAAAAAAAAGGTAACCTGGGGGCCTGCCGGTTAGCTCAGTTGTTTAAGCGTTTGCTCATGTAAGCACAGGTGCAGGATACTGCGGTTCGATTCCCAGCTCCCTCTGCCTTACCAGACCTGCCCTTCAGGCAGCCTGAACAACCAAAAAAAAAAAAAAAAAAAGGTACCTAAGGAGCACTGCTTGATAAAGTTAAGAGGAGCTCTCAGGAATGAGTGGCAAATTGATTTTAGAAGGATAAATGGTTCACAGCAAGGTGACTGGGGAAGGAAAATGGCACACTTATTTAACATTTACTGAACCCATTCTATATGCTGATCACTGCTTTGGATTCAGAATGCAGCACAGAATATGTCAGAACACAGCAGATGTGACAAAAGAGACCACAAATGTTTAAGTGTCCCTGGCCTTTTCCTAATCACTGGGGGAAGATAAACAAGATAATACTAGATAATTAGTAGAGGAAAAAAGGTGAGATACTGCTGTCTCTGGTGATGAGTAAGCAACTGCAGTTGAAGTACAGGATTGAGAGAAGGATGGCAGATGAGATTATAAAATTTAAAATTTATCTTTGTAGACAGTGTGACGAATGGAGCTTTTCTAGATAGTGATGTTTGTGTTTGAGAAATTAGGAAGTGATGCGGAGAGTCACTAGGATGGAAGGCCAGTTACTATTAAAAAGATGCAGAGGGCCAGGTCTGGATGGGGCAAAAGGGATGGGAAAATGCTCCTCACAAAATTGCCAGCTGGATGTGGTGGCTCATGCCTGTGATCCCAGCACTGGGGAGGCTGAGTCAGGAGAATTGTTGTGAGTTCCAGACCAGTCTGGGCTATAAAGGGAGCTCAAGGCCAGCTTGAGCTGTATTGCAAGACCCTGTCTCAAAAAAGACTAATGACACCAGCTTTCCCCTCTGTGTATTAAAATCCTGATTGTGTTAGTTAAATTCATCTATAATTTGGGGATAACAAGAGTCATTAGTTTCATAGGGCTTCCAAGAGTTAACAAATTTAAAGTATCTGGGCCAGTTGTGGTGGTTCACACCTGTAATTAAAGCACACAGGAGGCTGAGGTGGATAGCCAGACTAGACTACGTAGTGAGTTCAAAGCCATCCTGAACTAAATACCCAGACCCTGTCTCTAGTTTTGTTTTGTTTTAAATTTTATTTATTTATTTATTTGTGTGTGTGTGTGTGTGTGTGTGTGGCCAGCTCAGCCCACCAGGGGGCGGGTTGGCTGGCATGTGGTGCTGGGGAATTGAACCACATTCCCTGTGCTTTGCTAAGCTTGTTCTAAGTAGGTGCTTTAGACCACTGAGCCATCTCACCAGCCTCTTGTTTTGTTTTGTTTGTTTTGTTTGTTGTTGTTTTGGAACTAGGAATCGAACTCAGTGCTTGCCAGGCAGGTGCTGTGCTGCCGAGCTATATATCCCAGGTCAAGACCCTGACTCAAAAAACAAAAGTATCTAGGCCTACTTTATGCTTAATAACTATTGCTATCATTGAGTGAGGAAGGTTCCAGTTTCTGGGCTGTATGACTAGGAAGCCATTCATGAGGTTAGGCAGTGCTCAGGAACCCACTGGATCTGAAGTTCAGGATTGAGGAGATAGCTTAGTAGAATAAGCACCTGCCTGGCAAGCGCAGGGTCAAAAAAAAAAAAAAAGTTAAAAGCTGAACTTCAGGAATGATATGGCCCATTGATTTGGACAGAGTTATTTAGCATAGAGATGGTAAAGGAATTGAAGGGTAAGGTTTTGAGTGCCTGAGAACCCAGGTACTGTGAACAGTTTCTTTGAGCTCTGCAGCATTATAGAGCAGGAGGTAAATTAGAAGCCAGGAAGGAATGGTGAGCAAAAAGAAAGATGGGTGAAAATGAGGCTTAGGAGTTGAGTGGACAGTTTTCTGAAGAACTGGTCACCGTATGCCCAAATGATGGCTGTCGCTGGCTCCAGGCACTCATTTTTTACTTTAGCGAGAGCTTTTGGAATGAATGAGGACCACATGAAGGTGAGGAAGTGGAAACCTAGGTGATCAAGTACCAGAGGAAAGAGAGGGAAAAGGCAGCAGCACAGTACAACATTAAGGCAAGAGAGAAGCTTTGTTCTTCTGAGAGATTCTATGCTTTGGTAAGGGGAAAAGCTAGTGGGTTACGAAAGTGGGGACAGGGACAGGGAGATAGCTCAGCTGCGTAAGTGCCTGCTTGGCAAGCACAAGTTCATGAGCTCAATCCCCGGTACCAAAAAAAAAAAAAAAAGACCAAAGAATGTGAGGACTAACTGGACATGATAGCACATGAGTTTGAGGCCAGCCTGGGCTACAAAGTGTATTCAAGGCCAGACTGAACTGCATAGCAAAACTTTGTCTCAAAAAAAAAAAAAGGGGGGGGCCCAGCCCTAGCTCAGTTCTTTAAGTGGCTGCTTCCACAATGCTGGCAGCCTCAGTTTGCTGTAGTTCGATCCCCACAACACTCCAGCCATGCAAAAGTGCCCTGAAGGCATTCAAGGAGCAAAACCGCCCCCCCCCAAAAAAAAAGAAGAAGAAAAGAATATTGGAACTTGGCTGGGCATGGTGGCACATGCTTGTAGTCCCAGCTACTTGGAAGACTGACATGAGGATCACAGGTTCCAGGTGAGCCTGGGCAAGTTAGTAAGATCCTTTACAAAACCATTTGTGTATTTATGTTTGTGACTAGGGATGTAGCTCAGTGGTAGAGTAAGTGCCTAGAATGCATGAGGCCTTGAGTTCAAATCACTAGCACTTAGTAGTGGAAGAGTACAGAATGTTATGGGACAATTAATGTTACATATTCTAGGGCTGAGGGTTTAGCTCAGTGGTAGAACGCTTGCCTAGCAAACTGGAAGCTCTAGGTTTGGTCCTCAGCACCAAAACCACCCCCAAAATATTCCATTGTCATTTTGCGCATGGCATAGTGGTTAAGGCTGCAACAGATAAAGAAGGAGAGGACATTCAAAGCAAAAGGGGCTCTTTTTTTTTTTTTTTT